ACTCACTCTGCTGAAATTTGGAGCTTCGGGGAGAAATTTGGAGCTTTCAGGGAAACTTGGAGCAGCAATCGGAGATGCTGCCTTAAGGGTTTCTGGATACTGGGCAGCTGGTGCTCCCCTGTTTGGCATAGTTCTTGTCCCCACTTGTCCCCTCACTGCTGCCTTCTGCCATCATTGGGGCTCTCAGGAGCTGCTCCCAGTTCGGAGCTCCGGATGGCGCAGGGGACATTCGTGGAGCTGGTGACATCATTTCTGGGTGCCTCTCACCTGCCTTTTTGCTGCTTTACCCGTTCACATTGTCCAGTTTTGTTTCTGCCCTCGAGAGACGAGGGCATAGGGATAAACTGTGGCATTTTCTGTCTTCTCCCAGCATTTCTTTGCTGTCCCACGTGTCTTGCAAGTGGCTCCAAGAGCCACAGGTTGAGTTGCCAAATTGGGCAGCCCCTGTGCCAGGGAGGGCAGAGGGAAAACGGGGCTCCCGGGAGCGGAGCCCATTGCTCTGCCATAGCAGCACTTCCACTCGCACTTCTAGACCACAGTGTTTCTCATGTACCAAATGTTGTGGTTTGCGCTTTGCTTTCTCTGATTCCAAGGAATTTGTGAATGAGTTTCATTAGAGGTTGATAGACCATTTTTTAAATTGTATTTTTGCAATATATGCTTATTTTTTAAAAAGGTTCGTTTAAAAGTCAGGGACGGTAAATGCATTTCCAAAACTGTATAGTGTTTAAGCTACTTTTTACTTTTTTACGGGGGTAACTTTTTTACTTAAGAAAGATGTTAGAACATGAAAACTAACAAAAACTAACCTCAGTGAAATACAGAGTTACTTGAGAAGACAATACCAAAGACTGCTTTTCAAGCATTGTCAGGTTGATTTTTTTTAAATGCACATCATTTGTAAACATAGTTTTTTTAATTTTATTTTATTATGGCATTGTTTGTATTATAATCTCCATTTCTTGGTGCTGTTCTTCATATAATCCTGACCAGCAGCTAGTTATCTATGGCACTGCTGTTAATGGTCTTGGTGATCTGATTAACGATTTCCTTGGACTTTGATGCTGCTATACGTAAGCTCTATAAAATATTAATATGAGCCTTTTATGTAGGGCCAAAAGTTTGTACATTTTAACTTTGTCATTTAGACAAAAAATTATGCCTATACCAAAGTTGGTATGTTGCTCATTAAATATATGTGCTTGTAGGCATATATATTTAACAGTACTGTGAAAATCCCGCAATACATTTTTTTTTTGTCTACAATGCTGTTATTTTTCAGATGTTGACTTTTGGTGAAAGACTTTTCAATAAAACTGTAACTGCAAAAAGTGTTCTGTGACTGTTCTTAAATACAAGCTGAAAAAGTTATTCTCTAGTGACTGAAGATGAATACAGGCAAAAGTAAGCAAGAGGGATGTTGTAAGCGGGAATTGTTACGAATATGGTGTTGGAAACAGCTTTGGAATCTGTTTGACCTTAAGGCTTTCATCTTTTGATAAATAGAAATAATTATAATGGTATGTTGGGTTTGTAACTGTTTGAAAATACCTAAACGTGGTCCTTTCTGGGCAGGTTGGGCATGCACATGTGCACCTGTGAACACGCTCTGATGATGCTGCTGATTCGGGGTAAATGCGCAGGAATCCGGAGCAGCGTCCGCGCGGCAGGAGCTGGGGACCGAGCGGGTCCTGCGCCCGTGTTGGGCGCTGCCTCGTGGGCACCGCAGGGATAAGCAAAGGGCAGGAACCGGTGGGAAGCAGCTGGTGGTTTCGGAAGTGCCAGGTCAGGTCCCATCTGGTGTGCAGAAACGGGGTGTTTTGTGGCGTGCTCTTCTCTAAAGCGCTTTTGCTCCACGACGTGGGGGCCGGGCTGTCGTGTTGCTCCACGGTGGATTGTAGGGGCGAGGGCGGTTCAAGGGGCATCCCGAGCAGCTCATCTCCTCTCGCCGCGTCCCCCGCACGTGTCTGCCCGGGAAGTGGCCTTGGACGGAGCAAAGAGGGATCCGTGACCCCCGGTGACTTCCCTGATCAGCTTAGAGCTTGCTTACCTTGTCTAGACTGCGCCGTAAGAGGTTTACGGGGATCCTGGGGCATACAGATGTTTTGCCTGCTGTTAATACCTGAGCAGCTACAAGAGCAGGCTGGAAACACTTATCGTAAATGGCTCGGTATCAAAAAATTGAGATTTGCTAAGGATTTTCCCATTGGAGAAAGTGGGCTCCTTGCCTCAGACTCTATAGGCTAGGGTGGAGTGTCATGTCCAAAGGAGAAGATGCAGCAAAAAACACCATGCCTATGATTTCACTTTTCCCAGGAAGGGAGCAAACACAGGAGTAAAGGCCTTTTCATATTCCAGTTGTTTCCACAAAATCTTGCAGATAAGAAGCTAGATACGAGGCAGGACTGTGCCTGCACAAAGCCCCGGCCGTTGGAACAGCTCCATGGAAAGGGAATGGCGCCGGCAGCTCGCGCGTTGCGGTGTCGTCCTGGAGGTCCCCAAAGCGGCGCAAACGTGCGTGTTATCACATTAAAGCAGCCTTTTAAAATCCCCCTTGCCTGCAGTAAGTAATCTTTGCTGACAGGTGAATAAAAGAGCTTTCACCATTGCTGTCAGCGCTGCTGCAGCCGTGGTCCAGGGGAGTGAGTAAGTAGATTTTTTCCGCCCCCCACTGTTTTGGGCTAGAAAATTCTCACGGCCGCTTTGCAAAGAGGCTCTCTGCGTCTGCGGGAAGCACCAGCCGCAGCTGCGGAGCCGGCCGGGAGCAGCGCCGGAGCAAGGAATATCAAATCTCACTCAAGCTGCTGATCGAAGGGGATATTTTTCCAGGTACCTGTGTAGTGACATTTTTTTTTCCCTTTAAGTAGCCAGAAAAAGTGCTAAGACAAAATTCATATAATAAAAACTTTAAAGAGTTTGAGCCGTTCTTTTATTCTGAGTTAGAAGGAAAAAAAAAAAAAGCACCCTTTTTGTAATCTTTACTTTAAGATGGCCTTCTCAAGTGGTGAAATGTTTGTTCTGATTTAAAAGGTGGTGGACGTGAAGTTTCGTTTAAAGCAGTGATTGGTAACAAAGCACAATTCCAGCACAATTCTGGCAGATTTTTTCCAGCATTGGCTTAAAGTTTGCTCCTAGTAAGAGTAATTCTGCTTCCTATGGAATTATCTTTTATTTATTCCCCCCCAGCAATAAGTGAACATAGGAAGCTTGCTCCGCTTTGGAATCCCTGTAAAATGGTGTGTTTTCTCTTTGTGCTGAAAGCCTCATAGCTCTCTGTCTCCTGCCTGGATTTCCTGGTGGAAAACAAGAGCAAAAGGTCAGTTGAAGAGCGACATTTCTGGTGTTATTGGCTCTCCTCGTGAAGGCAGCGTGGGCTCTGTCCACCCGCTTCGCAGGAGCAGCAGCATCACGGTGCAGTTTGCACTGGTTTTGTACGAGAGTCAACGCGAGGTGCTTTTCACGTTTCCATCTGCATTGCAAATACAAGAGAAAGTCAACTTTCAAAAGAGAAGGAAACGAAAGCCCGCAACTGAGTATTAAATAATGCCAAATACAGCGGCGTGCTGAGTTTGTAAAAGAGGGTGAGCGCTTTTTTTAAAGTAGCTGGGCTGTTTTTCAGAATACAGTTTCACTCCCCAGGGCATTTTCTGTGGTATACGGAGGGCACGCGGCGGATGTTCAGCTAGCAGGGCTTTTCCAGGGGGTAACTTCGGAATGAGCATCTAAAGATTTTGCAAAATATTCCGTATGTCAGAAACCTATAGTAGATGTGGGATTCCCCCTACTCCCTTTACTGCCTTACCTACCCTGCTTCATTACCAAAACAAGCCATTTGCATATACAGTACATAGTTAAGATAATTAACATGAATTTGCTTTCTTTTTTTCCTCCTTGTTATGTAAACAGTGCATTGTTTTGAGAAATGACAATAATGAGGGCACAACTGGGGGAAAATTAACATATTAATGGAAAGAGATAAAATTATAGAAGGTGGAGATAAAAATTACATCTACATAGACAATCATTTCCAAATTTATGCTGGGTGGATTTCCTTAGGGAACAGGGAATCCTCTGTTTTCTCCTGCCGTGTTTTGCGTGTCGCGCTCTGGTTTTTGTTTGGAGGAGGAAATGCCCGCGGCCGCTCTGCGTTCTCTGGCACAGGAGCCCCTTGGGCTGTCAATACTGTTTGTATCCCTCGAGTTTGTTGTCGATCCACTTCCAAGGAGATGGCAGGAAGAAAAGCATCCGAAGTGTCAGAATGACGGCAGAAAATTCCTTATCTTCCAGTGCTGCAAAATACGATTAAAAAAAATGATAAGGTCCCTGAAGGAGGGTACAGTTGAGTTGTTTGGAGGCCTGCAAGGGTCGTGCTTCGATTTAATATTAGGCATTTTCCTGTATTCCTCTGCCCATGCCATGACGGTGAGCCTAGCCGACAGCTGGATACTGCTGAATGTGTTTGGCATGGATGTGCTTTTCCTTCTGGATATTCCTCAGTGTTTGCACATTCCTGGGAATACTGCAGGAGTACATACCTTATGGTGAGGTGGTTCTTACACTTCTCCATCACTAAGTGTCAGGTCCCTCTGCCCCTTTGCCCCCCGGTTCAGGTCCTTTTTTCACAGCTCGCTACTTCTTGCACAAAGAACAACTGTGTTAGTTTCCCATGATGGTATTTAGGCTAATTCATTATAGCGAATTAACATTGCAGCAGATTTTAAGCCTTCTTTATTTCCTCTTTACAAAGTATTAGCCAATGTGTGTTGATGGCTATTGCTAAATATTTGCTTGGCTTTTTCAAAAGTTGCTTTGATGAAGGTATTTTAAGTTCTTAGCTTTAATCATGCTGTGTAAGTACATGGATAGAAAAGGTTTAGGTGGTTCAGAGGTACGAATATGCCTCCAGGTGAAATAATTCAATGGTGAAACCTTAAGCTGGAAGATGGGACGTGCCGGGACGATCTGGGAGTAACCCGTGTGTCCTGCTTGTTCTCTTGCAGTCAACGAGTTCACAGTGATCAGGAAGAAGTTCAAGTGCCCCTACTGCAGCTTCTCAGCCATGCACCAGTGTATCCTGAAGAGACACATGCGATCCCACACGGGAGAAAGGCCCTATCCGTGCGAAATCTGCGGGAAGAAGTTCACGCGCCGCGAGCACATGAAGCGGCACACGCTGGTAAGCGGGGCTGGAAGCGGAGGGGACTTGTTCCGAGTAAAGGGATCAGGAGCTTCCTTGGATTTAGCATTGTGTTTTCCCTTCCCGCCCCGGGGCTCCTCGGAGCCTCCGCATCCCCCGGTATCTCCCTCCGCTCCTTTGCTCATCCCGAGCTCACGGGCAGCCGCTCTCCTGGCGCGGCCGGAGCCTTCCGGAATGGGGAAAGGACGAGCTGGGCTGCAGTCACAAACGACCACACATCTTAACACGACTTACTTGTTTTCTCCCCAAAAACCCCTTCCATGGGCCTGTCCACTGGGATGTGTGCCCGGCCATCTGGTGCCCGACACGCGCCTGGGATGTCTCTTGGCTCCTGCCTTTGGGCATTCGCATCCCGGAGGCAGATCCATGCCGTCCACTTGGTCCTGCTGCAGATCCGGAGCTTTTGAGGTCTGTGGCCATGCTCCTCGTCACATCAGCTGGTGGCCTCCAGCTTTTCCTTTTGGAAAACTTTATGAACATTTTTGGCTTTTACTCTCTCAGAAATGGGGGGTGTTGTCAGCACATTTTCCCCTCTCCCTTGAAATATCCCTGCAATAGAACCTTCCTTCCAGGAAGAGGCTCCAGGGCTTTTCCTTGGCGGGGGGACAGGGGCTTCCTTCCACGCGGCTCTCGCTCCGTCTCCGCCCAGGTTCATTCTCCTCCTCGTTCTCCTTCCCTAGGTCCACAGCAAAGACAAGAAATACGTGTGCAAGGTTTGCAATCGCGTGTTCATGTCCGCGGCCAGCGTGGGCATCAAGCACGGCTCCCGGCGCCACGGCGTCTGCGCCGACTGCGCCGGCCGCGGCATGGCCGCCCACCTGGATCACAACGGCGGCGACGGCTCTCCCGACGAGCTCTACCCCGGCGAGGGCCAGTACATGGAAGACCCGGATGACATCAAAGTGGAAGGAGACGAAGAGATGGGAGATGACGATGACATAAAGTGGAAAGACGACGTGGGGATATCACAAGACGACGTGATTTTAGATGACGACAAAGATGTCGACTCTCCGCAGGAGCAGGAGAACTCTGGGGAGAACGACAAGGATTTTACCTGGATTTCTTAGGGATTTTTTGTTCTGTTTTGTTTGGATGTTTGTAGGGGAAAGGGAGGGCGGGGGAGGAAGGAGTATGTTGGAAAAAAACTAAGTAGCCTTGTTGTCGTCCATGTGTGCAAAATAATTTTTGTGTTTTCTAAACAAGTCCTTATCTGCACCACTCAGACACCGGAGCAGCGCGTGTCGCTGCGGGTGACACGAGCTCCTTGGCCGTCCCCTTGGGCGGGAGCGCGGCCGGTGGCTCGCGGGCGAGCGCGGGCCGGGCCCCGGCCTCCGGCCTTGCCCACAACAGGTCGCGGTGGTTGTCGTCGGGTTGAGGTTTTGCTTTTGTGCTGTTTTTTTCCCCTTTTGGAGCCCTTTTCTGTGCTCGAGCACCCCAGCAGCAGTGGAAGCGTGAACCAGTGTTGTGCAAAGGAGTGTGTTGAGGGCCGCCCTGATAACACAGGCCTTTTGCTAAAGAGCTATTTAAAGAGAGGTTTTATTGTTTTGTATTGTTTTTATGGAGCCAAATAGATCAAAAGGCAAGTCAGGCTGCGGCCTTACGGGTTCCTTCCAGAAAAGCGGACTCGACGCTGGTCCTGGGACCTGCCGGCATCTTACCCTGCTCCCGTCTTCCAGCCGTGGTTAGTCCTGTTCGAGGAAGTGACAGGTGATATTGCCATAAAAATGGTTTATTTTGGAGGACACGGGTAACCGAGGACCCGTTGTTGTTTTCCACTCACTTTCACATCGCTCCTTCAGGTGCCCAGCTGCCTTTTCCAAAACTATATGCAACCCCGGGAGGTACTTAGTGAACTGCAGGATGAACCATGGAGTGCAGCTCGGAGCTGGAGCAATCCCAGCCTCCTGGGCTCCTGCTCTTCCTCTCCGGGGGTTTCCACGGGGCCGGGATTATCCTTCCTTGCCACGCTGCAATCTCCTTCACTGGTGGCAGTCATGGCTCCAGCTGGATTTCCTCGGGAAACCGTGGGTCGTAGCTGCGCCGGTTCCGTGTAAATTTTCGGCTCGAACCCTTTGCTGAGCAGCAGGTTTCTCTCCTGGCGGAGTCAGGGCTCTCTCCGGGGCAGATTTGCTCGTATCCAACTGCACGGAAACAGCGCCGGCAAAACCCGTCGCACGCGTCCCACCCGGGGAAAGGCGTCTTCTCCCCTTCCCCGCGTTGCTTCTGGTGCTTTTTTATGATGTTTTTTAAAAAAGGGCAGAGACCTCCCTCTTTCCTTGCTCCGGAGCTGCCGGAGCAGCGATCCTGCCTTGCAGCCACGAAAACACCCGCCGCCAGAAAGCCAAACGACTACAAGGTGCTACGTATTCCCAGCAGCAGGAAGGCAGTCCTGGGGGAAAAGCGAGCTTCAAACTTCCTGCAGGTGATTTCATTTATTTATTTTTTTATGAAAAGCGTGGTTCCACCAAGCAAAGAAAATGAAAAGGGGATTTATTTTACAAGGCGCCAGCAGAGCAAATCTTGAGGGGTTTCTGCTGCTCAGTGCCCGCGTTTCTGCCTCTCTCTCCCTTGTTGTTCCCGTTGTCCTTGGCCGATTCCCGTTTCTTGCCGGGCCGGTCGCTCTTGGAGCATCTTGGTAATTTGGAGACGTGTTTCAAAGCCGCTCGGGATCCTCAGATCCTCTGTTGGCTTCAAGTGAGGCCGCGCGGCCCCGGCTCGGCCACTGCTCATTGCAGGGGTGAAGGAGCCATTTGGACTTGCTGCTTTTAGCCCATGGGGCCAGACAACCCTATTCTTTAAGTATTTAAAGACTAATGCGGTAGGGTCATATGGAAACATTTTTATTAAACTGTAAAAAGCTCGGTTTGTGCTTTAGCTACTTGTAAAGCCCTATGACTCTGTTTTAAAGAGATGTAACGTATTTTACGGTTGGACCTTTGTACCCTTTTTCCCCAAACCCTCCTGCTCAGCGGTTGCACCCGCGGTTCCCGGGGCCCGGAGCGCAGCCGCCCTCTCCTTATCTTGACTTCTGCCTCCCCGAAAAGCAGCCTGGAATTTACTGTCACTTGGCCTGTGACTAGGGAGGAGCGGGGCAGAGACCTGCAGTGCTCGAGAGATCCGTGGCTTTGCTTTTTATGAAATTTATTTAAGAAAGAAAACCACAGAGACCCAAAGCTTTCAAAATCCCTTAGTTTCCGTGACATTCCTTCTTGTTTATCTATTCGGGTTCCAATATATGAATTTACTTGCTTGTGTTTTGGGGAAAAACAGAAGGCCTTTGCTCCGGGTTAACTTCTCTTCTGCCCAAGCACATGGGGGACTCGCTTCTTGTATCAGATTTATGGGGTGCTCAGCTTTACACGGTGTCCGATTGGGAAATAGTTGATGTATTTTTTTCTTTTCTTTCCCGTTTCCAAAGGCGGGCAGCGAGCGTGGGGCTTTCAGACACATTTTCCAGTGGGGCAGCTGAGGGCACAAAAAGGGGAAAAAAAAAAAAAGGAGAGGAAAACGGAAGAGCCACACAAAAAGCTAACTGGTTACGATGTTATAATATAGCGCAGGCTTCTATATTACTAACATTCACTATATATACCAAATAAAGTCATTCTAATACGTGGTGTATATTTTAAGTGCTTTGTTTGGCCGGAGGAGCGCGGGCTCGGAAACGCAGCGCCTTTAGGACGCTTTGGCGAGCGGCGGTTCCGGCGGCTCCGCTTTTGAGAGGCTTTTGTCTTTTTTAATCCATTTTTCTCCAAGTTCCGGAGGGGAAATGGCCCTTTCCCCGCCTCGCCGGTGACTCCAGGCGCTTCCCCGACCCACTCGAGCCGCCCTGCGCGGAGCCGCTGGGACCGAAGAGGGATGCGGGAGGCTCCGTGTCCGGCTATGCAAACTCTTCCAGACCCGGCCGAGGGGCTGCGGGGCCCCTCGCGCCCGGCCTTTGTAGTTCCCGTCGGGACTTTGTATAATTCACTGAGATTCCCTTTTTTTAATTTTTTCTAAATATATATATATATATATAATGTGTGTGCGTGCGCGTGGGGGTGTGTGTATATATCTATATATATATACAGAGCTAGATTCAAAGGAATAACTCCATTAGAGATGACAAACCGATACGTTTAGTCTCCATAGAAGTCTTGCGACTCATGTTTTCTCAAAGCGTTCATATAGCCTGACCAGCGCTGTTCACCCAGTTTCTCTATTCTCTCTTTTTCTAATATAAAAATGTGCCACAAACACGAGGAGCTTTGGAAGCCCCGCGATGCTGATGCCAGCCCTGGCGCGAGTGCCTCCCGGCTCCGATCTGGCCCGGATCGGCCTTGGCCTTGTTGGCGTCAGGAGGCTCTTTACCATTAAAGATAAAGATAAGATTAATTAGATTCTTGCGTCTTCTCCTGTCAACTTTTTGTTTTCAAACGCTTCTTGTTAAAAATGATAAATTTCATGTATTTTTATATATTATTTCCCTTATGGGGTGGGGTAAATTTTAAGGTCGTCATTATCTAGAGTTATGGAATGGTTTGAGGGGGGATGGAGAGGGGGGTGCCTGTACTGAACGTTTGCAAAGTGACTCTCGATTTTGTTATTGAAGAGCTGGGACTGCAAAAGGAAAATCTCATATGAAAAAGCCACCTCCCCCTTCGCCTTAGGTCCCGGTTTGTTTTGCATCTCGGATTATGCCTTTAAATACCCCGTGTTTCCAAAGTGAGAGCTGCGTTCGGTTGGCTGCGTCTCCGCGGGGGGCACCGGTGGCTTTGGGGGACCATCCTGGTCGTCCCCTCTGACACCCCCTCCCACGGCCGTCCCTGCTGCGGCTGCCCCCGAGCGCTCCCGATTTTGCACATCGCCCTTTAGGAAAGAAACTCCATGAAAATGCAAAAACTGGAATTTTTTGCAATATTATTAAAGATATTCTTATTTTTTAGCTCATTCTGTGACATGTGCAACTCCTAAGAAAGCCATACGGCATGGTTCTTTTTATTTGTAGATTCTCTAATGTGTTTGAATTTCTGCCTTTTTGGGGGGACATTCTGCATAGTAAGAGTGCTGTGTGTATGCTTTCATATATATTTATTTTTCAACGTGCTTTAAACCTGTCTATGAAAATAAAACAGAACGAACGAACACGCGGCGAGAGGCGGTTCCTGCCCGCGCTGCCCCGCT